TCTCTGTCTCTTTTTATCTGTCTCTGTCTCTTTTTATCTGTCTCTGTCTCTTTCTCTCTCTCCTCTAAATTCCCATTACCTTACCACACCCTACAATGTCCCTTACCACACTCTACAGTGTGATAATTATTTATATTTACATAACAGGACTGAAACTACTGAACAACAACAACAAAGTTATTTTTCCTACTAGATTCTATGTTCTTCGAGGGCAGGGTCTATTCTGTGTTCATCCTGGTATACTTCACACAGGCACAGAACCTTCATTAAATACCCCTCTGCTTTCACACATGATACACATTGAACTGTACTGGACAAAAAGTTGTATTTTATTTTTCAAACCAATAGGCATCTTTTAGTGTTCTGCACAGTCATAAACAAAACTAGGTCTTGTAACGATAGCATCCTAAACGATACAATAGTGATACAAAAGAGTTACAACGTGTTTACTCTTTACTCAGGTCAGTCACTCACTGAAGCCCAGTAATTCTCTCAGGATCTTCTACTTAAGGCACGGAGTTACGGACATCCTCGTGTTAATGGATGTCCTGGGGTGACAGAGTTACTCTTGCAGCAGCAGACACTAGGCACTGAGTCTTTACAACATTTGGAACAACGCTAAGTGTGGTCCCTCCCCAGAGATGGCAGTTTGGGGCTTTTTAACCAAAAGGACCATACCTGACTCCAGCCCCAGATTCTTGGCTGAGGCTCTGAGTACTGCAGCATGTCGATGGCAGTGTTTTTAATGATGACTGGATTCAGAATCCTAAACTGTTTTGATTGGAGTGGTATTTTCTCAACGACACGCTTCCAAAAGAACAGGCGTACCCAAAATGGCTGAAGAGGGGAAGTAATTTTTCATAATATTAATAATAGTGATTCATGTTTATGTAAGAGGCAGTACATAGAATACTGGCCTTGGAGACGGGAAGACCCAAGGTCAAGCACCACTTCTGACATCTCCTGGCTGTCTGACTCTGGACAAGTTCTCAGCATGCTAGGTCACTGAGACTAAAGTTACAGAGAAGGTGGCCACCTACATGGGTGGCTGTTTCCTCATTCAAGAACACGTTAAAATCCCAAGTTGGAACTTATCCCCTATTTATAAGAGCAGATTGTTGTCATATGGGCATCATTTGAAGGAACAGGGAGTACTTAACCTGAAAAAGCCACTTGAGGGTTGAGGGTGGGGGAGGGAGAACACGAGGGGTTTTCAAGTATTTGAGGGTTGTTACATGGGAGAAAGAGTAAGCTCATTCTTGGCCTGAGAATGGAACTAAATGGGTGGAATTTGTACTCCAATAGATATAGGTGTGATAAAAGGAAAAACTTCTAACAATCAGAGATACCCAAAATGGGATCCCTCCAGAGATAGTGCCCTCACTCAAGGTCTTCAAGGTAACACGAATGATCACTCAGTGGAGTTAGTAAGGCACTTGCAATCAGGTATGGATTTAGATTAGATAGCACTGAGGATCCCTTCCAACTTTGAGATGTTGTACCAAGCCACTTCATACATTGCTCAAAACAAAGAGCGTTTCTCAAACCTGTGAGGCTGGTACCTTCAAGTATTATTACCTCCAAATTTATAGATGAGGAAATTAAGATTCAGGGTGACTTGAGCACAGAATGAGTTAGCATCACACCTGGTATTAAACTTTGGTCTTCTCACTCCAGGCTCCATGCTTCTTTCCATTTACCTACAGTGTTACAATGCAACTCAAACCTTTATTGTTCGAACTTTATTGTTCTCATGATCTCTGCCTAGTTTGTCAAGAGGGGTAATGTGTATAGAATAGATAGCCCTCCAAATGGTCACTGGCAATTTAGGTCAGCAAATAGCATACAATATGCTTTTCTTTTTTACCACTGCTGCCAACTTTGGAAGAAGGGAGACCATTTTTTTTCTCCCTCCCTCCCTCCCTTTCTGAGTCTACTCAAGGTTTTTTAGAATGGTATAGACTGAGGAATATATAATTCTGATTTCTAATTTAAAACCTTCTTCAATGCCTCCTAATTGCCCTATAGAAAAAGATGGCAATTTTGAAGAACTTTATAATGCTAAGCTTTGAAGATCGAAGTACCCCACGGGTATATAAAAATCTGGTATGATTTGAAAGGTTAAATAGTAGATATATTTAAAAAATTATATATAAAATGCTCCATCTTCATATGGCTAACACTTATGTATATCTACAAATATCCAAAAATACATTTGTTGTTATTCAGTCACGTCTGACTCTTCATGATCCCATTTGGGGTTTTCTTGGCAGAGATATTGCAGTGGTTTATAAATTCCCTCTCCAACTCATTTTACAGATGAGGAAACTGAGGCAGAGTTAAGTGACTTGCCCAGGGTCACCCAGCTGGCAAGTGTCTGAGGCCAGAATTGGACTCGTCTTCCTGACTCCATGCCTAGCACTCACCTTGCTGCTCATAAAAATATATAGACATACCAAAAAAAAAAAAACCCCCAACACATATAGACATACATAAATACCCCTGAAAGCAGTTACTCTTTCACAAATAATATTATGACTTGGGTCACATATATGAGGTGTGACAATAAAATAGTGCATTTTTTATGTAAAAAACCCCAACAACTCTAAATGATGCTAAGCTTTGCTCAAAATATTTTTGGAAGTTCTCTTTTGGAACTGTCTTTATAACTTGTATTATATCCTTTTAAATATACTCAATGGTGGTGTATTTTTATGCTTCAAGGGTGGACTCAATTTTTGAGAGTGGCCAAAAGTCATTTCAAACGAATTCTGATAAATGATAGATGATGAAACTGGGAATTGTCATTTGTTCATATTACTAATGTAGTGATGAGGCTGATTTTTTTCCCCCCATTTGGCTCAATCAAGGTTCTGAAGGCAATTGATAAAGAAATATCCCCAAAAATGAGTTCTACAACCTCTTCATCTTCAGGATCAGGGTACAGCCTCCCCAAGGGGACCACTCTGAAGGATAATTCATGTGAATTAACAAGGTCTGCTTTGTTTTTTAATCAGTCCTCTGCTGCTTCAGACTGAGGCGATCGTGAATAAATTTCCTTATGTGTAACATGAAGCAGGTGAACTGGATGGCTCTTAAGGTCTCTCTTCTGGCACTAAATCTCAAACCTTGTTTTAATCAAAGCACATATTCTGTAGATGAATTTTCATTCCTTACCACTGTTTCATTTTTTATCATTGCTTCAAGCCAGTTGAAGTCAACACTCTTAAATAAAACCGCAACAAACAAATCATTAGAATAATACTCGAGGTCAGACAATGGAGCTCCTTCTGGATAAGTCATCCTTATCGTAGTTTTATTCCCAACGTGATCTGTATATCCCTGAACTGGTGCACTGTTTAACCTATTTTTTTTTTAAAAAAGGAAAATAAATGTTAAAATAAATACAACTTTATCAAACTAATTACCTGTCGTTGACCTTCATGTTATTCAAACAAGGTGTGCCACACAGTTAAAGTCATAAAGGCACATTTAGTAGTCTTTTTCACATCATACACAAATCTAAAGTGACCATTTAACTCCACTGAATCATTTTCTTTATTTTTGTTTTTTTGTAATTATGATCAACAACAAAAATCTAATAGTGGGATGGTATACTTTCCACACTTCTCAGTCAGCTAAAGATGTGGGTGGTTAGAGAAAATCTTTACAGAAGCCTGGACTGTTTCTCATGTTTTCACAAATGACACATGACATATACATAGACCATCCTCAAAAATTTTATTTATACAAAAAAGGAGGCATGTAGGTCAGTAGTTGTTAATGTTGGCTTGATCACCACTTCTTTTTGGTAATAATGAAAGAAAGAACGAAAAGAAAGGAAAGAAAGAAAGAGAAAGGAAAGAGAAAGAAAAGCAAAGGAAGGAAGGAAGGAAAAGAAGGAAGAAGAAATACACACAAAAGTGTCTTTACATATATATATATATATATGCATGTACGTATATACTGTGTTATTTTTAACCTCTTTTTCACAGGTTCTACTTCCCAATCCTGTAAATCAACATTGTGGTTTTCTAATTTCACCTCTCAAATAAAGTCTAAAAATGGATACCATCCTGTTGTCTTATATTTATTGTTTCTGCATTCCTGTTTATTCATTTCAATATCACACACACCTTGAAAATATCACTCTACTATTTACCATCTATAGTCTTATTCTTTTGAAATATTTTAGTCTTTGAAATATCCCGAAAGTCAATCCCTGATTATCTTTAAAATTGTGTTGTCTGCTGCAGGGATTTCTTCTGTTTGTGTATATTTTGGTCATCCTTCCTACAATCTCTTTAAATGCCTTTTTAACTTCCTTACCAAGCACCTTCCTTGCCCGGGCACTTAGGCAGTGAAGTCAAGATGATGAGAAGGGGTGGCTAAAGAAATGCTGGCAAATCTGTTCCATTTTGCATCTATCTGTTACCCTACTTGTCTGAGCAGTCCTCAGTCTTTGCGGGATTCTTCACTGACCTGCCATTGTCTAAGTGTGAATGTCCCTCAACCTCCGCCCTGGGCCCTTTTCTCTATCCGATCTTTCTCTTGATAATCTCAGCCATTTCTGCAGGTTTATGATATTCCTATTCCACATTTGGATAGTCAACCCTAATCCTTCTTCTCGATTCTAGTCCCACGATGGATCATAGACTTCTAGGCTCATGGATTCATAGATCTTCATCCTCATATCCACATAGGTTCATAAACCTGGAAGGGACCTAATATCATCTATTTCAATTTCCTGCTGGTCACTTTCACCCAGACGTTCCACCTGCAGCTCAAACTCCAAATGTCCCAGAACAGACACATCATGTGCCCCCTTCTTCAAACTTTCCTATTTCTGTTAAAGGCATCACTTATCTCCCAAACAGGTTTATAACCTCGAAGCCATTCTTAACCTTTCACTTTTCCCTTATTACCACAGCTAATCACTTGTTCACTCCTGTCAAGTCTATCCCCACAATATCTGTCAAATCACTCATCTTTTTTCTAACGACATATCCACAACTCTAGTTCTTGGCTCCCATGACCTCTCTCTCCCCTAGGCTATTGTAATAGTCTCTTAGTCTCCTGGCTTCCAGCTGATCCTTTTTTCCCAACCATTCTCCACAAAGCTGCTATGATAATCCTAAGGCACATATCTAACCATGTCACTCCCCTGCTTTGCTTTCCCCAAATTTGGCTTTAGGGTAAATACAAATTCCTTAACTATGCACTTAAGGACCTCTACAATTTGGCTCTCACCTTATTTCCCATTACTCCCCCTCATGAACTTGAACTTTTAACCAAAGTTATTCTTCATACTCAACATTCCATTCCATTCCTTTGTGTATTTGCACAAACTGCACCCCACAAGCATAGAATGCATTCCTTTCTCACATCTTTCTTGGAAACCTGATCTTCCTTCAAGGCCTAATTTGGGGGCTCGTTCCTCCATGAAGCCTTTCCTGATCCCTCCAATTGCTGGTCTTCTCAAATTGTCTTATACTGATTTGTTTTAATGTTGCCTTCTCACAGAAGATTGGATTATTATACTTCTTTTTCCTTTTCATCTCCAGCTGTGGCTCCTTGCACATAAATCAGGACTCTGTTGAATAGTACTGAATCTCTACATGTTTTGGGGACGCCTTGGTTTTGTTAAGTTTTAATGTCAAGTTTTCTGTAGGCTCATTTTCCCACATACTGACTTTTACTGTTTTATAAGGCAATACTGCTCACAATCTTCTGCCATCCTCCAGAATATTTTGAAAAAGAGCTTGTATCCTAAATCAGTGCTGCCTGTATTTGCTAGATAGTCTTACTTGGCTGAGCCAGTTTCTGGGTTCCTTTGATCTCCATGCTGTGGCATCTGTTTTATGTAAGTTAAACTTATCTCAGAAATGGTGATAATCAGAGTCGATGACTTTACTTTTTTCCACGTTCCATTTTTTTCAGTGTTAAGTTTGTTTAAGTAAGTTGGACTGGAATTATGGAAACTACACAAAAGATTTTCTTCTAATTTTTTAATTTGGTTTTATTTTGACTTCGCTTAACCAATGGATGACCATAAAGACAGCTAACTTGGGACTGAGTCCCATATTGGTAGTCATTTCCTGTCTGTAAAGATAGTTTCGTTTGTGTGTGAAGTTGTTTGCCATGTTTACCACATCTAGTGTGTTCTTTTTGAAGAAGGTATTTGTGATATAGAGTGCACTCTACTGTGGGAAAAGCCTCTGTGATCCCAGGAAAGTCGCTTAAACTCTCTGGGCTTCATTTTCCTCATCTGAAAAAAAAATGAAGATTGGACTGCATGACCTCTAACTCCCCTTCCAGCTCAAAAATCTATGAAACTATGAAACAAATACTTGGGTTCTTTAATTTTGTTTCTTAAATAATATTTCCCAAAAGAAGTTTTTACTTTCCACTTTTCTGAATGAATGAAATGAATGAAAAAGCATTTATTAAATGTTTACTACATGCCATGCTTTGGGTTAAGCATTGAGGATACAAATTCAAAAGTAAAGACAGTTCCTGTCTCAAGGAGTTGACATTCTAATAAGAGAGGGAGGAAGAGAAGGAAGGAAAGAAGGAAGGAAGAAAGGGAAAGAGGGAGGAAGGAAGGAAGGAAAGAAGGAAGGAAGGGAGGGAGGGAGGAAGGAAAGAAGGAAGAAAGCAAGGAAGGAAGAGAGAGGGAAAAAGGAATTATTTATTTATGTGCCAGACACTGTGCCAAGTGCTTCACAAATATCTTATTCAATGAGGACAGCCCATATAAGGAATGGTAACTAAAGAATGTTATTTGGATTAGGGAAGTTACAGAGGTGGTGAGTGGAGCCATAGGAGAACAGAATGTCCCACACACCCTGAGAACAATGACTGCTGATTTGATTGTTATACCAGAACTGGAAAGCAAGGGTGAAGAGTGCGGGAGCTTTGGAGGGGGTATGTGCATAGTAACATGCTGGAGCTGAGCCTAAGTGTAGTGGGCAACTGAAGTAACCACTACGGAGGACATCCTGCTCATCTCCTGTTCTGGGGATGAAGGGCTCATGTCTTTTGGGGCTGGGTTTCTGGGCTGGGTGGCATGGTGGCTGACAAGAAGATGGTCAGGGAGTAAAGTCACTGAGTATTAAGGAACATGGTAATTTGGTTTAGAGGCCTTTGTGAAGTTTTTGAGAAAAATTTTCTCTTTCTCTATCCTCTGTAACATGCATTAAATATGATCATCTTCACCATGGCCTTTTTGCTTAAGCTCCATCACAGACACAAGGTCAAATGGCCAAAGGAGTCATGAAACGCTTTCTTGTTTCTTTGGAGAGAATGGAGAATCCAAATTCACCCACTCCTCACACCAGCCCATTCGAGGGAAAACCTGTGAATGGTCAGTCCTTCTCTTTCTCAGTCTTCATCCTTCTTGACCTCTTGGCAGCCTCTCCTACGATCAATCACCCTTTTCTCCTTCATGTTGTTTCCTCTCTAGGTTTTCACGACCCCATTCTCTCTAGGTACTCTTCCTACATGCTGGACCATTTCTCAGTCCCTTCTGTTGGATCTTTGTCCAGGTCATGCCCATTAACTGTGGATATCTCCCAAGGCCCAGTGCTGAGCCTTCTTCCTTTCTCCCCACATACTATTTTCCCTGGTGATCTCATCAGCTCCCTGGAATTCAATGATCATTTTGTGCTGATCATTCTCAGATCTACTCATCCACTAACCAACCACAACCGGATATCCTGGAGCCATCTTAAACTCAGCATGTCCAAAACCGAATTCATTATCTTTCCTCCCCTCTTCCTAACTCTCCTATTACTGTCAAGGGCGCCATTATCCTCCCACTTACTCAGGCTTGAAACCTGGGTGGCATCCTCAATTCCTCACTCCCTCTCTCACCCTCATATCCAACCCATTGCAAAGTCCTATGTATTCTACCTTCATTACAATATATATATATATACACACACACACACATACGTATGTGTGTGTATATACGTATATGTATCTGTATCTTCATCTTCATTACACTTCTCTGACATTGCCACCATACTAGTACAAGTCCTCATTACCTCTCATCAAGACTGCTGCAACAGCCTCTGATTGGTCTCCCTAAGTTGTCTGTTCCAACTCAAGGCCACCCATGAGTCTTTATGAGTGGAGACTAAGCTATCAAATTGATCTTCCTAAAGGATGGGTCTGACTGTGTCACCCCTCTATTCAATCAACTCCAGTAGCTCTCTATCACCTCCAGGATCAAATACCCTCTTTGGTATTCAAAGCCCTTCATAACCTGGCCTCTTCCTACATTTCCAGTCTTCTTATATGTTACTCTCCAGATGTGCTCTGTTACCAAGTGACACTGGTCTTCTTTGCTGTTCCTTTCCTAAGATGCTCCATCCTCCAACCTGGGGCATTTTCAATGGTGCTCTCATGCCTGAAATTCTTTCCCTCTTCATCTCCATCTCCTGGCTTCCTTCAAGTCCCACTTACACTCTCACCTTCTACAAAAAGCCTTTCCTGATCCCCCCCAATTCTAGCATCTTCCCTTTGTTAATTATCTCCAACTCATTCTGTATATTTATTTGTAAATGGAATGTGGTCTCCCCCATTAGATGGGAAGCTTCTTTTGTCTTTCTTTCCATCCCCAGTGCTTAGCACTGTGCCTGGCAAACAGTTGGTGCTTAGTAAATGATTGTTGACTTTTTTAAGCTTCATGTTCACATTGGTGGTGAGCATGTCAAAACCGTAGTGGTTCCATTTTTTCAGGACCACATCAACATTAACTAATTCTTAGCCCCTTCTGCCCCCTTTCCTACCACCATTCCCCTGTCAAAGCGGAAGTGGGTATCAAAGGATAGAGGCTGATCATATCTGTTTCATGGGTCATCATGATCAGAAAATGTATTATTCAGGGGCCAATCTGCTGGTGAGGAGCTTTTCTACACTTCACTAGACCAGTCCTGAGGAAGCAGACATAGTCTACTGCTAGGGCTGAATTCACATCTTTCACAGCTCCACTTAGAACCTTCAGAACCTAAGGCTCCCCTCCACGGTGGCCCCAAGAGGAAGCGGAGAGGCTGTGCTGCCTGATTCATCTTTTTAAGGCAACAGATTCAGTGGAAGAACTACTTACAACGAGCCCCACCTCCTTGGCTTGGCTTTCAGGAGTGGCCACGACTTGGTTCCATTCTTATTTTCTATGAGTCCCTAATAAGAGCCTCCCCTGCTGCTTTTCTCACATTTCTGTCATTCTTCCTACTTGTATTTATTCGTATCTGGTTTTGCCATGTATCTCATTACCTAATGTCTTCAGTTATTTCATGTGTGTTGCCTTTGTCTCAATGTGTCCCACACGGCATTCAGTACAGTCCTCAGCACACAGCGAAGACTCGTGAAGGACTCAGAAACCAAATCCTCTAAGAAACAGACTCAACTCTAACAGCAGACTGTCACATACCTTATCACGATATCAAACTGATTGAATATGTGCCCCAGTCCAAGTCCATTCAGTATTCCACCATTGCCCATGACAACACAATGTTTACAACGTTTCGATTTCAAGTTTTCGGGCAAATCGTACTCAGGCAAAAGTTTTAAAAGGTTTTGCAGTTTATTGGAGAACTTGCGAAATCCAAATGGAGGATCATATTTATATATATCTTCATTCATTTCCATATTTTCTTTCACAAAAGGGGATGAGTCTGTGCCATATTTCTCAGCAAATAATCGTTCCATCTCCTTTTTCACAAAATGGGGTCGACATTCCCCTTGCAATACTTGGTGAGCATATTTCTGTGCTCTCTAAAATAGGGAAAAAGCAAAATTCGATCGGAGGATGTTTTAGATATTATAAGCATTCAGTTATAGATACCAAGTGTCTTTAAGACTGACCCATCTTCTATGTGATTCTTTTCATTTAATGAACATAATATATATGTGTGTGTGTATATATATATATATTTTCTCAAGCTAAGAGGGTTTATGTATAAGGAAAAAACTTGGGCGGTTTGGAGTTATAAGCAGACTAAATTATCAAGCAGTGTTTATTTCTTGAGTACCCACTAATAAATCAATGGTCTTATGTCAGTTACCATGAATGACAAATTAAGCAAGTACAATCCAACCTTGTTAATAATTTTATAAGTTCCTCTAAAATAAATGGAGATTTTTAAAAAAAAATCTATGTTTAGGTGTTAAAGACTTTACTTTTCAGGTTTGCTGTTTAGTGGTATAATATCCCATAGTAGGAGTGGGGAACCTGCCATGCAAGTTTCCTATTTTTAGGTCATGTCTTAAATTCAGTCAGGCTGGTAAAAACAAAAACAAAAACAAAAAAAATAAAAACAAAACACAAAAACGCCCAATCATCACCAATACACTTGGGACCCGTGTGTTGACAACCTTGGCATAGTTCTCAAAGGAACAAAATTTCACGTATAAAACATCAAAAGGTACATACGTATTCATGACTGTGTCAGCAAGGTAGATAAGAAATTCACCTGGTTATGCAACTTAACAGCTTCATGACTTCTGTACACAAAGGCTTACTCCCAATAAATAAGAAACACAGGCTTTGCACATAACTGGGTTCACATCCAATTTCCCTCGCCTTCGGGTGCCACTGCAATCTACCTTCGCACCCTTTAAGATTGAGAGGTACATGTACCTGTGGCCAGAACTTCGTTGGGCGGCACCACTCAAAGTGGTACAGTCTAGGTCTGTGAAAAGGCCAGAGATAAGGACAAACTGTACAAGCAGGAACAGACCCATTACCAAATTATCTGTAGCTGGAGGGAAAAGGCAAGAGGTGTGTCTGTATGTGGGAAGGACACGGCAGCAGCGAATGAGGCAGATCTAAAACAAAGGGCAAAGTGGACTCCGTGAAGCCAAGGAAGAACCAGCAACAGCTGGACTCCAGCTCGATCAAGGCCAGGGGTCCGAGGCTGACCCAATGGTCCCCCACCCTTTGTTACCAGCTGAGGGTCCTGGAGAGTGTTGGGCCTCGGGTAGACACAACTTTGCTTCCCCTCAGATCCTTCTTTCTCATGAGTCACAGGTGGCTGAATAGAAAGTGGCTGCCAGCACAGGAATGGTCAATACTTAATAAGTGGTTTTTGAGGGACTTACAATAAGGAAAATAAATCCATAATGCTCTGCATATGATACATATCAGAGGTAGCTAGGTGGCTCGGTGGATAGAGCACCATGTCTGGAGTTGGGAAGACCCGAGTTCAAATCCAGCCTCAGACACTCACTAGCTGGGTGACTGTGCAAGTCACTTAACTTTTGTTTGCCTCAATTTCCTCATGTGTAAAATGGTTGTTGTGAGGATTAGAGATAATATTTCTGAAGTGCTTAGCACAGTGCCTAGTATGTAGTAAGCACTAAATAAATGCTTATTCCCTTCTCCAGATAGAGGCAAGAAACAGAAAACCTGGATTCTAGTCCCAGGTTCGCCACGAGCTAGCTGAGTCATCTTGGTAAATAATCTCTCTATAATTTACTTTCCTCAGCTGTAAAAGAGGAGTGAGCTATGAAAAAAGATGACTTACCTAGCATTGTTTTTCATGCTCCAAAGCAGTGGAGATTTTTTTTTTTCCTTCCCATCAGCCCACATTAATTTACTTGAAATTCTTCTTGCTTTATCTGTAAACAAGGCCACACTTGCATTTTGCCCAGAATCAGATATGGGGAAACACTCCCCTGTCCTGTTGCAGCAAGAATTTACTGGAATGCGAAACAACATGCAAAATTCAAGTGACCCTGGGGCCATGGTGATAGTAGGACAAATAATTTTCCTTTGTCCCTGTTCACATTGATGTGATTCTCCAACTATCCAAAAACACAGAGATGAGAATCTGTAACTTAATAGAACTGTTGTTTCTGCTCAGTTATGTCTGGCTTCTCATGATCTCATCTGGGGTTTTCTTGGCAGAAATACTGGAGTGGTTTGCCATTTCTCTCTCCAGTTCACTTTACAGATGAGGAAACTGAGGCAAAAAGAGTTAAGTGACTTGCCCAGAGTCACACAGCTAGTAAGTGTCTGAGGCCAGATTTGAACTCAGGAAGATAAGTCTTCCTGACTCCAGGCCCAGTGCTCTAAGCACTATGGCGTCACCTAGCTGCCACCTCAACAGAGGCACTCAGTGCTTAATAAAGCATCCTGAAGGAGCTGAGAAGCACCTTGCCTTAAAAGGAAAAAAGAATAAGAACGCATCAAATTGACAAGAAGAGCCCAACTGGCACGCTCTGGACTTACTAATACATACCTGCACAGCTACTAACAGAATTAGAAAATTGCAAAGTAACTTAAAGATTATTGACTTCAACCTGAAAGACGAATCCCCTCCATACCTAAACAGTATGGAGGACGCCTGCACACCACTGCTACCAGACACAACCTATTTCTTACTTGGAAACTCCCAGTCCTTACAGTCTTGCACAATTTGCAACGTTAGGGTTAAAAACAGAAGAGATAACCTGGTTTTCTTCCAAATATTTTTCAGAGCAATGTTCCCCACCCCTAGACCAGACCACACAAGAAGACGGATTTCTGACACGCAGTGATCTTTATTTTTTTTAATTAATTTATTTTTAGTTTTCAACATTCACTTCCATAAAAATTATGAGTTTTGAATTTTCTCTCTCTCCCTCTCCTTCCCCCTCCCCAAGAGGCTGTGCAATCTGATATAGGCTCTACATATACATTCCTACTAAATATATTTTCACATTAGTCGTGTTATAAGGAAGAATTAGAATCAATAGGAGGAACCACAAGAAAGAGGAAACTAAACAAAATAGAAGAAAAAGAAGAGTAAATAGTATGCTTCAATCTGCATTCAAACTGCATAGTTCTTTCTCTGGATGTGGATAGCATTCTCCATCATGAGACTTTTGGAACTGTCTTAGATCCTTGCATGGCTGAGAAGGGTTAAGTCTATCAATATTAGTCATCGCACAACATGGCTGTTACTGTGTACAATGCTCTCCTGGTTCTGCTCATTTCACTCAGCATCAGTCCATACATGTCTTTCCAGGTTTTCTGAAGTCCATGCAATGATCTTTCTTGAGATTGCCACTCACAACAACACACACACAGGAAAGGCTTAACTGACTTAGTGAGAGAACTTCCCACTACAAGCCACGTGCCTTTGGCACAAATGCTCCTTAAGAGACCACATCTCAGAGAGGGCCCCATGGGAAGACGGGGAGTCAAATCATAGCCTGGCCATTACCTTGCTGTTTGGGCAAGTCACTTAACCCCTGTGATTTCCTCATTTGTAAAACGAAAGGGATAGATTTGATCTTTAAGGTTCCTTCCAGCTTTAAATCCTATGACCTTAGGCATACTACTTAGGATTTCTCAAAGAAGAAAAAAAATTTCAGAGAGGATAAAGATAGCCATTAAGAAAAACTAATTAAAGTGCTACATTGCTATGTTAAGAGGTAGGGATTTTTTCATTTGTTAAGTTATTAACTAGCAAATCCCTGTGTCTCTGGAACGGAAAGTAGGCTGTAATCAAATAAAACTCACAGTTATTTTGCCACATGTTTAGTGGTAAGCATGATAGCAATTGTGCTACATCTGAGCTGTCAAGCTCATGGCCCAGGCCACATACCACGGCAAAACGGAACCCGATAAAAACGTAATTGAGAAATGTATAACAAAATAAGTAAAAATACAATACAATGTAGACAAAGTTAATTTGTGGCTTTCTAAGTCAATATGTGGCCTGCCAGGGATCTGTTTCTCTTTGAGTTTGGTAACTCAGAATAAACAGTAAGGAGAATTCGTCTTGTGAACGTGATTTTTATACAACCAAATGGAGATTTTGCAGTTTTAAGAAAATCTTTGTTAGTGGTCCAGAATCTATAAATAGTGTCAACGAATCTTTAATCCTCATCGAGTGTGGGCAGTGGCATTCATATTCATCAAAAGACAAAGGTCCTCGATCCAATGAAAATAATGATGACACAAAGGGCAAGAAGAGGCGGTGATATCATGGTTTAAAATTGTCACAGTGCTTTGTGTTCAGACGGTGTCTGGCACCCGGGAGGAGCCAGAGTTGGGAAGACCTGGCTTTAAACTTGTCTCAGACGTCTGCTATCTGTGTGTCCCTCTCCAGAAGTCACTTAACTGCTTCCCTGTCAAAGGACGGAGTCTGGAGGGGACGGTCCCTTTCGTTTGAGCTGCATTTCAGCCCTGGGAGGCAGGAACGGGGACTAGCCTGTGATTTTTTTGGCCTAGCAAGGCAGCACCTTCCCTGAATCTTAGAGAAGTCCTTATTTTGCAGGTAAGTAAACTCAAGCTCAGAGAGGCTAAAGAAAGACCCCATGGTCACAAAGCTAGTAAATGCCAGAGACATGATTTAAACTCATTCTGAGTGCAGCATTCTGCCTACTACTGGAACTTCCCATGTTACCTCCTGCATTCTGTCTTCCTCTCCTCCTAAAACAGCTTTCTGAAGTCTTCCCTGGTCTTCCCTCTTTCTGGCCCCATCCTCTGCTTCTCTCTCTTTCCATACTCACTCCAGAATCCAGTCCAGTCATCCCTATGCCCTTCCCACAAGGCCCAGTCCTGAAAAGTCCTGGGTCCTGGAGGCTTAAGGCATAAAAGCACTGGGGTGACTGACTTTGGACAGATGAACAGGGGAGTGACAGACAGACAAGAAAAAAGGAGAAGTAGAGTTCGAAAGTGAGATCTGGGACAAGTAGGCCCATATATAAGCGCTGGAAGGATAAAGCTCTTTTCCCAGAGTCCCATATAGTGGTGGAGAAGGACTACAGGACATCCAGAAAATCAATTCTGGATCCTTGGAACACTAGCCTATGCCCAGGCATGATGTGTGCCAGGCCCAAGAGTCAGCTCATTCGTATCAAAATGCAAGTAATGGCTCTCAGGAAAGACAAAGCTGGAAAGTAACAAAGGGCTCACCTTTAAACACTCTTGGGAGGCAGGAGATGTGAATAACATCCCCTTTTACAAGAAGGGGCTAAGACTCAGAGGGATGAAGTTTTTCACCCCCCGGGCCTTCAAGTCAGCACAAGACTCCATGTCTCGTGGCTGTGAGCCCAACGCCAAGTGGTCCTTCCTTTTCATTCTGAATGCCTGACGTCAGCTCAGGTATGGGGGAGGGAGGAGGGTGCTGAGTGGGGGGAAGAGACACATGAGGGCTCCAAAGGGCCAAGGACCTTCACCTTCTTCTCTCCCTAACCTGGCACCCGGACAACCCCAGGCTGCCAACATAGTGCGCATGCTCCTGGAGTCCAAGGCTGCAGAAATGAGTCCCAAACTGATGCTGCAGGAGTCAGGTTTTCACTAGATTTCCCTCTGCCTCAACTAGGGCAGAACCCAAAGGCAAATTAAGCTTCCCTTCTAGGGTATTCTAGTAGGATAAGCAGGACAAAGCGCTAAGACCCAGATAGAGTCACATCTCTAACCAAGCCGCCCAGACACCTTTTCTCAGAGTCCAGCTTTTCTTTGAGGCGCTGTGGTCCCCACCTGCCTCCTATTCCTCAGTGCCCCAGCCTGAATTCCTGAGCCTTGGGAACACAATGGCAGCCAGATCCAGACTTAACGGCACTCTGTACCAGATAGGCCCTCTCAACACTCCCTCAGTCTCCAAGGCAATATACCTGAAGGTCGAACCAATCTGACAAAGGAAAGGGCACCTTTTCTGCTCTTCTCTCTTAGGATAAGTCTTCTCTCCCTCCTCTCTCTGCTGTCTCTCCCTTCTGTCTCTGTCTCTGTCTCTCTCTCACACACACACACACACACACACACACACACACACACACACACACTCCCTCAGGGAGAAGAGGCATTCACTATACCAATGGAGGAAAAGAATGCAGAAAGAAAATATTGAAAACCAAGCATCTACTTGAAATTTTGCCTAGGGTTGGGTGTTTTTAACCTGGGGTCCACAGACCCCCAAGGAGTCTGTGAACATGGATGGGAAAAATTACATGGGAAAAAATTACATCTTTATTTAATTAAAATTGGTTTCCTTAGTAATATGTTGCATTTTGTTTTATGCATTTAAAAATGTGATTCTGAGAAGAGGTCTGCAGGCTCCACCAGATTATCAAAGGAGTCCATGACACAAACAAGGTTAAGAATCTCCACCTTACTGATACTCTAAGCAAACTAGGAGAGAAAGGAATAGTTCACCTGTCAGATCCATGGAGAAGGAAGAATTTATGACCAAACAAGAGATAGAGAACATTCTGCAACGCAAAATGGATTATTTTGATTATATTAAGTTGAAAAGTTTTTTCACAAACAAAACTAATGTAACCAAGATTAGAAGGGAAGCAGAGATCTGGGAAAGAATTTTTACAGCCAGTGTCTCTGATAAAGGTCTCATTTCTAAAATATATAGAGAACTGAGTCAAATTTATAAGAGTACAAGTCAGGTGCAGCTAGGTGGCACAGTGAATAGAACATCGGCCCTGCACTCAGGAGGACCTGAGCTCAAATTCAACCTCAGATACATAACACTTACTAGCTGTGTGATCCTGGGCAAGTCACTTAACCCCAATGCCTAGCCAAAAAAAAAAAAGTGGGAAAAAAAGAGTACAAGTCATTCCTCAATTGATAAACTGGTCAAAAGACATGAACAGGCAGTTTCCAGAGGAAGAAATTAAAACTATCTAAAGTCACATGAAAAAATGTTCTAAATCAGTATTGATTAGAGAAATGCAAATCAAAACAACTGTGAGGTACCACATCACACCTATCAGATTGGCTAACATACCAAAACAGGAAAATGATAAATGTTGGAGAAGACATGGGAAAATTGGAACACTAATGTATTGCTGGTGGAGTTGTGAATTGATTCAACCATTCTAAAGAGCAATTTGGAACTATGCCCAAAGGGATATAAAAATGTGCATACCTTTTGACCCAGCAAGAGCACTTATAGGTCTGTATTCCAAAGTGATCATAAAAATAGGGAAAGGACCCACATGTACAAAAATATTTATAGGAGCTCTTTCTGTGGTGGCAAAGAATTGGACATTTAGGATGCTCATCAATTGGGGAATGGCTGAACAAGTTGTAGTATATCAATGTAATGGAATACTATTGTGCTATAAGAAATAATGAGCAGGCAGACTTCAGAAAAACCTGGAAAGACTTGTATGGACTGATGCTGAGTGAAGTGAGCAGAACCAGGGGAATGTTGTACACAGTAACAGCCATGTTGTGCAATAACTAACTTTGACAGACTTAGCTCTTCTCAGCAATGCGAGGATCTAAGACATCTCCGAAAGACTCATGATGGAAAATGCTATCCACATCCAAAGAAAGAACTATGGAGTTTGAATGCAGATCAAAGCATACTATTTGCTTTCGGTTTTTTTTGTTGTTTTGGTTTTTTCTTCATTCTCATGGTTCCTCCCATTGATTCTGATTCTTCTTTACATCATGACTAATATGAAAATATGCTTAATATGAATGTATATGTAGAGCCTATATCAGATTTCATGTCATCTTGGAGAGGGGGAAGGAGAGGAAGGGGGAGAAAATTTAAAACTCACAATCTTATGGAAGTGAATGTTGAAAACTAAAAATAAAAAAAAAAGAAATCTCCACCTTAGACAGATGAAAGCTGTGAGCAGAGTTGTATGAGGTAATAGGCAACTGTGCACATGCATATATCAGAGGAAATGTTGGTAACAAATAAGGTGGCTATGCACGAAACATAATTCCAGGTCAATGTGTGGCCCTAACTAACTGAAGAGAAGGTCAAGTCTCTTTTGACCACATGGCCAAAAACTTAAACTGACATTGATGTGCCCTCCCCCCCCAAATAACATTTAAATGTACTTTTATATTAGAGCTGCCCTTTCAAAGTGCTTGAACTTCTTCCCTGAGAGACAGGTGTTGGTTTTTAAGATGAGCCTAATAAGGGACCTCTTTAAACTGCAGACACAGAAAACCACAATCACCACAACAATGTGTCCTCTTCTATTAAAAAGGTGCAACCTGGGAATATCCCAAAACATCCCGTACTGGAAAGGCTCAATCTTTAGAGATTCTTACAGCATACTGATAACTTTGAGCCTTGTTTCTCTCCCAGTATCCTCCATGGCCGTTCTCCTGTCAAATGTTCCTGATGAGATCAGACACAGGGATGAGGGATGGATGACACTTCTCTGTACAATTTCTTTCCTTCTCTGTACAATTTCTCACGTTAAATTTTCCTTCTGGTACGAAGGGCTCAAACCACTGTATGTTAGCTTTTAAATACAGTAGGATACCTGGCTTTCCCCTGCACTCATTTGTTTGAGGTGTTGTGAAGATGTTAAAAATCATTTTATTTGTTCTTAACCTAAAGATGGAGAACCTTTAATGCAATGAAGAAGCCACTTTTTTGGTTTTCAGATGAGTATAACATTACCTTTTTAAAAAAAAAATCACTGGAAACCCCTCCAAATACCTGTAAAAAAATGGCTCTAAACAAAAAAAAATCACTGGATAAAACCATATAAAAATGTAACTGGGAATTGTTTAACAAAATAAATAAAAGTACAATATCACATAGAAAATGTTATTTTGTGGTTTTCTAAGTCAATAAGTGGCCTGTGGGAATCTGTTTCTTTTTGAGTTTGATACTACTGTGCCACATAATAAGTAAGCCGAGAAATTAAAAAAAAATGTTTAAACTAATCTTGGCTGCACTAATAAAGGGCTAATAATTCCTATGGAAATACAGGAAACTGTATCTCAGGTAAAGAAAAGAAGAAAAAGAAATTCTTTCATAAAGAGGAAACATAAGAGAATTCTAAGTCTGCAGAACAAAGAGTCTTGAAGAGAGGATAGGGGTTGCCAAATCGCATACCTCTGCATCGATGTCTTTTTCTCAAACTCCAACTCTAGTTCATGGCTATGTGCTACTGGGGGAGGTGGGAGTGGGAAGGGTTAACTCATACCTTCTCAGTTTCCCCAGTATTCTGGCCCACAACAACTCCATGAAAATACAGAAAAAATTATTGGCTTTAATGTGTAAAATGTCATTTAAAATTTGTCCTGAAGGATGCAATATCATCCAGCAAACACTTATTAAAGACCTAGTCTGTGCAGGGCCTGTGATAGGTACTAGGGACCATGCAAAGATAAATAAGAGACAAGCTCCATCTTCGTGGAACTTCTGGTCTAGTGGAAGTGGGGAACGCACATGTCCAAATCACTACATAAACATGTGATGTACTATGTTTTACTGTATGTGTTACTCTTCATCCCTTTTTATTGATGGAGAAGTTCAAATTCAGAGAAATTAAGCAGCTTAAGGTCAAAGACACAGCAACTGTACACTTGGGTCTTCTGACCCCAATGCCATCAGTTTTCCCACTAAACCACATTGTGTGTCCCTATGCCAAGGATCTGAACATGGGTGACAGAATACAGGAAAATTGGGAGGAACAGGGCTGGGGGAAGGACAGTATGCTCAATTTGGGATGAGTTCAGCTCCAGGTGCTGGTAGGACATGCGGGTGGGTATCAGCAGTTATAAATGCAGGTCCAGAACTGGGGAGAAAGTCGAGGTGAAGCTGGTCATGTAGATTTGGGAGTCAGCCAAGTAAAGATGAGTTACAGCCATGAGAGAAAGTGAGGCGACCAAGTGAGAAAACAGAAAGAGAAGAGAACAGGGCCAGGAACAGAATATTAGAAAACAGTAATATTAAGGGGGAAGGAAGAAGCAGAGCAAACAAATGAGACAGGATTAGGAGAAAAAGGAAGACAATCAACAAAGTAATGGTCAACAGAACCAAATGTTGCAGGGGTAGTGGTGGTGGTGAGCCACAGGAAGGGAATATGTGTTTATTAAGTACCTGCTATGTGCCAGTCGTCATGCTAAGTGCCTTACAAAGATTTTCTCATTTGATCCTTACAACAACGCTGTGATCAACGGTCACTTTTTCAAAAGTATTTTTTCAAGGAGGGTAGAGATGAGTTAATTGCTTGAAAGTGGAGAAGGGATCAAAAGAAAGGGTGGGTTTGTTGTTGTTCATTTGTTCATTTATTTTAGACCAGTAACTGAAGGAATTTACTGAATATTTGAAAAAATTCATTATAACCTTTTGGTGATGGCATGAACTGTTCATGTAGTAGTCCTTAAACATGTTTAGCTCATCCAACCTAAAGGAACCAGCTCAAGGATCTGATGGAGTGCTTCCCTAAACTAAACTGGCTATATATGTTGGTGGAACCTAGAAGCACTGGCTAGGAAGGCTGGGAAGTGTAGAATATGCTGAGGATAAATGGAGGGGGATAAGTGACACTTTAGAGCAAAAGAGACAATAACGTCTACTTTCTTACTAAACAATTCCCTTTTATAACAAACATTTAATATTTTAGAGACCGGATGCCACTAGCATTAGAATTTTCTTAAGGAAAATCAATTCACATGCATGGAACAAAGTTTCAAAAATGCAAACAAAACGAACATTTAAGAAATATCAAACCTTTACACGCTCAGGATCCACATAATGCATTCTTTTTATGTGACATTCTTCAGCACTGTTACTTAATTTGAGGATATAAAGAATCCACACTCCAAACACAAGTAGCAAACACCTGAGGGGGGAGAAATTAAATTACTTACTTGTGTACAATTTGACGGTGGTAATCCTAGCATTCTAGATAGAATGTTAGAGATAAAGCGTCCTGGAGATCATCTATTATTAGATATATTTTACAAGAACGATAAAATTGAAACATTAAGTGAAGAAATCATTCAAATCAAAGATTTAACATAACATCTCCGCTGTTTCCCCCATAAGAAGGTGACAGAACCTTGAGAACAGGCACCATCTTGCTTTTCCACTTCGTGTCCCCATGGTGCTTTGCACATGGAAGACAAGGACTTAAAAATGACTTTTTCTTTTCTTTCATTCATTCATTTAGAAGAGTGAAAATTTTTAAAATACTTCAGCTGGGAAAGCAGGGAACAATTTTTCCTCTTGACTAATCTCCACCAGTCAACTATTCGCATGTTTCCTTTCTTAAAAATGTTGTTACAGAGTACATTTTATTACAAATAGCCCCAATACAGTTTAAAACTTGCCTTACAATCTGAAGTCATTTCAAAATTCAGTTAGTACTCACAAAAGAATGATGAGAAACAATACATGTACTGATCTTTGTTTTAACATTCAGCACTGGCTACTTTAAGACAAATTAAAAGCATTTAAAAGATTCAACAAAAGCCAAATACTTAAGAAATGTTTAGTCATTCTTATCATTAGAAGAAAAAAAAACAGAGGGCAGACACATTAAAAACAAAGGTCATCTTTATTTCTAAGGAAATTGAGCTGTATTATTGTTATGAGGCATTCAGGCAGAATGCCTCTGTCTTTGATGATGATGATAATAGGAACTGGCTTAATGGCTTCTAAGTTTCCATTATGATAGACTTCCCATGATAACCTAGATAATTACTCAATTTCTTCTCTATATTCCCCATGAAAGAGCAAGAAGGGCGTGAAGAGCAAGAGCCAGAATCAGGCTATTCTGAAGATGAAATGTTAATTTGTGCTCTTATCAATGCAATGTCCTTCTTTCTTCCACATCAAACAAAACAAACAAAAAGATGAAAGAGTAAGAGAGCTATAAGAGTTTTAAAATTAATTAACTTTTATCTTCTCATAGCTTAAGGCAATTTTCTTTGTTTATACTGCACATCTCACTATTCCTAAATACAAGGTGATAATTAAAATTAGGCCTATTTAATGAAAAAGCTTTTATATTAGAGTGCTTTTCAATGAACTGACCACACTATATACATCCTGGGTCGTGAATTCTTTTCTTGTAACTCTCATCATTTTAAGGCTCTTCTTGAATCCCTTTACCATTTTCCCACATCTTTCTTATATATAGCACCATACTAAAGGATCCAATCTATAACTACCACTGTGCAATAGCTGGTAAAGTATTTCTTTCTTACCTCCACAAATTAAATCTGTATAGATTAAGTTATATCTGTGTTGTACACACATAAACATGTATAATCTAAAAAAGTTCTACCATGATGCCACGTTATAGCATGGAGGTGGCCCTGGGCTTTTCAAAGGCTTTATCAATAAAATGGAAGCTCTGGCAGGCCCTCTGAAAAGGTCCCAAGAATGACTTACATGAATCATAGATTTGGGCTGGAAGTGGTCTTGGAAGCCATTAAGTTCAATCTCCTCATCTAATCCCCTCATCTTACAGATAGGGAACCTGAGGCATAGGTGTATGAAACTTTTAAGCTTTCTATATTAGCATTCCTCAAATTTTGTTCCCTGGGTCCCTGGGTCCCTGGGTAGGGAGTTCATAAATAAATGTCAAGGCTAATTGTCTCATAAGTTGATTTAGGAGAATAGTAAAGACCACAGGGCACAAGTATCTTAAATAAGAATCTTAAATGGTAACCACGGAAGGTGGTTTTAACATCTAGTAGAGAAAGCTGACAAGATGATCTGAGTAATCCCAGAGAAAATTTGAGGAAAATTGAGGCTTTAATGCCCCCCACAGATTCTAGCGCTTTCCCTCTGTTGATTATTTCCTACTCATCCTGCATATAGCCTGGTTGTAATGAGTCATCTGCATGTTGTCTTCCCCTTAGACTGTAAGCTCCTCAAGGGCAGGAACTGTCTTCTGCCTCTCTTTGTGGTGTTCTAGGGCTCAGCACATCACCGGCACTTAATAAATGCTTACTGACTCACTGGTTATGGGACAAGATTCTACGGTGATTGCAAATTTCCTCATCTTTTACAACTTTTTACAACTTTTACAACTTACGTTGGGTGCACCTAACATAATTGAGGTCTTCCTCAAGAATGCTTACCCTTCAGTGGGTACCGAGGCAGCCCTAACACTATCCAGAAGTTAGCCTTCACTCTTGATACCCAACTGAATCAATCATCCCAAACTAACTAAAGTTACCAACAAGACTATCAAGTCTTGCTACTTTTACCAGGTGAGATCATCTCCATGGAATCAGTCAATTAAAGGCATTAAACTAAGTCCATAATGAATTTGGAAAGAATAAAAGTCATCGGATGAAATAAAATGATTCTACATAGCACATGTATTGGGATTGTTTGAAGCGATTCAGACATGCCCAGTGGGTCCAGGATGATAAAACAGCAATCCAATATGGAACCCAAGAATTCCAATTGCAGGCCATCCCATGGCGAAAACAATCTGGACCAAGCCCTTGAGAGGGCATCACTCTGGAGTCAGGAGGAAGACAGAGAACCTCTGTTTCCTTCTCATCCCATCCCCACTCCCAGTCCTGTGAACTGCACAAGTTTAAAAGATGCTGACCAGGAGCAGCATATCTGGAACAGGGATGGCTGATGGCGGGGCCTGTATCAGCAGCTAAGGACAAATTAGACATATTGAGGAAAGGTATCTTTTGGACTCTGGACCCTATGGAAGGAGAACAGGACTTCCAGAAACCAGGAAGTATGAGGTACCTCTTTTCCAATGTGCTATCCAAGCATGAGCCCACTTTCTTCTGAACTCTGAATGTGCTTGTGGTGAGAGGGTGTCCCTAGTTAAGGAGGGAGGGATGTTGTTATATCAACCCTGCTTATATATTCTGCCTTAGTAAACATTCCTTTCTAAAAGCTATGGGTAGCTGCCTAATTGGTTAACAACTGACAATCAACATCAGTTTACTGATGGAAGCTTGCAGGCAATAGCATTAGAAAGACACGCCCCACCCCTCTAGCCTCCCTCTGGCAATCCAATCTACCAGTGCAAGTGGAGTTGAAAGTCAGCAGGGGTTAACTTTTTTGTGTCCCCTTCTCAGAATGCTTTTAAATGCATAAAATAAAATGCACAGGATTACACTGGGAATCAATTACATCGAAATAATTATTAAATTATTAAAAACAAACAAGTCGGTTCACCAATCCCAGGTTAAAGACCTTTTGCTAGAGCCTGTACCGCACATGAATGAGTAGGTCATGTCTTGTTCTAACCACATGCAGATCTTTGCACAGAACATGGGCTTAATGAATGTTCGGTGAACTGAATCGTACATCTCTTTTTTTTTTTTTTTTGGTTAGGCAGTTGGGGTTAAGTGACTTGCCCAGGGTCACACAGCTAGTAAGGGTCAAGTGTTTGGTCTGAGGCTGGATTTGAACTCAGGTCCTCCTGACTTCAGGGCCAGTGCTCTACCCACTGAGCCACCTAGCTGCCCCTTGAATCATACATCTACTGGATTAAATTGTTTATGCTCCTTCTTGTGTACAAGTCACCACTGCTAATATGCTTTAGCCTAAATCTCTCCACTGTCATGTGGACAATCCATCATCTTGACTCTTCAGTGACTGTGGTGTTCTATGATTCAGTCAATGAATCATCAAGGTAATGTTGGTGTTAAGAAAAAAAAAACACCTATTGGAAAGTCATCTCCAAAGTCCTAGCCCAATGCTTTGTCACAGGGTGAAGGTGACCCTTGGTTCTCAATGGCTGTTTAGAGGAGTACAAGCTCTGGCAGATTCCACCTAGCGGGAAAGGCTTCCAGGATGGTTCCAGTGACAGACTATATCAGCTATTTGAGAACCAACAAAACTGAAAAGTAGAGAGGTTCATAACCAGTTGGCCACCAGGTGATGAATTCTTTGGCCACAGCAACCTTCAAAAGAAAGAAAAATTAAAAGCCACCCTCAGTCCTATGTTGGCCACCTCCCATTTCTGTAAGAATAGTGGGAGAGTGGCCGAAAATGGGGCAGGGAATCCTAAGAATCACAGTTCATACTGTCTACAAACCGGCTCTATCTCTTATGAGAACTTTATCACATGAATGAGATCAACTGGAGGAAATGCACTACGTGAATGTTGTCATTCTGAATCTAAGTGAAGCCAGAAGATAGGAGGCAGCTACCACAAAATGGGAAGATGGCTCATAGGCTTGTGGGAGAAATAAAGGAGCCGGGGATGTTGATTTTATCATGGACTCAAGAGAAATAAAGAAATAGTGCTTTGCGAATGTCAGGTGCTGAAGTACTGCTCTTTTAATTGAACTAAGAAGTCACAGCATAGTGGATGTCCCTTGCTTCAGAGTTAGAAAGACCTGCACTGTACTGCCAGTGCAACCGTGGGCACGAAGCTCCACCTCTCTGTGTTCTGGGTAACTCTAAGACATTTCAGAGAAGATGAAGTCACCAGCCCAGTACTTACTCCCTTTCCCCTAATGAAACTGAAATATCTTCATTGGACATTCAGCTTTCTTGATGTGCGGTGATTATAATGAACATCAGCCCTTCCCCAAGAAATTCTCTATGAAAATAACTATTTACATGTCAAGAGCTGCTAAAGATGATAACGATATAGAAAAATCCCACTGAGAACCTTCAAACCAAGTAAAAAAAACCACTTAAAACCCAGTGACTGTGCTAGAAAGATGGGCCTCTAAGAGGACAGTCAAAAATAGCTGGGAAAATAATCTGGTTTAGGATTAAGGAAAAAAAGAGGCCGAAGGATTGTAGATGACCCCCTCGCTTCATGTCAGTGTTTCAAGAATACTCTCTTCCAAAAAGAGTGGGAAAGCAGTGC